GAGCCGGGGTTTATGCTTGACTCGGGACCTGGCTACTTTGCTCGCCAGGATTCTCTCGAGCTGGTTCTGCCTTGATAAATTCTTTCAAATGACCTCTTCTTATCAGGTCCTCGATGACATCCTTCAGAGCTCGACAGTCATTCATGTTGTGCCCGACATCTTTATGGTAACGACAATATTTTTGTCGATCTCCTCTACCTGGTGCCCCCCTCATCATTTCTAAAGCGTGTTAGAGTAGGTGCCCTAGAGCCAATCAATTATTGTAGAATTGACTTTTTATAATAATGTTCATTAATCAATAAAAGACAATTTTATTCTATATTGCGTAAATCATTATTATTGCAATATGTATTGATATATGTCCTTAGAATGGTAGAACCGTGACGAGGGTATCAAGTGTTTCAAATCTTGATAGTGAGAACCCTATGAGCACATATGGTGGTCATTCTAGAAACGTCTGTAGCCCCAGTAGTATTCTGAAGTAAGGGCACATATAATATGGTAAGGCTATCATAGTGTTGAACGACCCTGTCGAAAGACAGTGACTGATCTCACTTGTCAAGGCTGTTTGGTGACAACCTGGTGCAACACATGGGTGCTTGCTGTAGGCGATTACACCGTAGCAAATTCATTGGACTGACCCACCAAAGGATTCCATATGGATGGTAACCCCAGTGTCTATGGAACAAGTCCTCTAACGAATGGTGGTGCATGTGATCCTTACACTTGAGATCACCGGAGCGCCTTGTGCACCGATTGGTGTAGTTTGACACTAGCCTAACGCAGTTCTTTTTAGAGCTGTCAATACGGTGGTGATTGGCTGCATCAAAGAGTGTATCAAGACTATGGTGGATTGACAGAGGATTCATCACTCCCAGGTATGGGAGAAGTTATCTCACGACACAATTCAGTATATGGCAATGACATTAAAACTGTGGCCATAGTGGGATTGAGTTGTTGCTCTATCCGGATTATAGTACAGGTCATTGGTCCAGAAACTGAATACATAATATCGAGAGTAACCGAAGGTTGACACTATTTCTATGCCTTCGTCTCGTCGAGATAACGTATGATGAAAGGATTGAATTGTACGGTAACCATATCGTTGACAGGTAACTACTTTGCTGAATCTAAATCTATCAGGTGGCCATGATGCCTTGCTAGGGGCCAATCTTGGTCTGTGTATTAGTGTGATGATTAATTGGTGTTAATCGCGATACTATACACTGCTGGTATGATGAGGATCCTATGGGTCACACACATAAAAGATAATTTAAGAGCTAGGAAGAAAGAAAGGCGTTTTCGTCTTTCTAGGCAAAAGATTATTTTGGTAATTTCACAGTACAATTAAATTTGCTGAGGTCGTAGCCTTTATTTAATTTGTTAGAAAAATTAAATAAGTGAAATTACGTTTAAATATGTGGTTGCATATATTTAAATATATTATCATTATTGTTAAATGTTAATATATATGAAATATATATATTAATTGATTTTAATTGAGATAATGATGGAAATAAAAAATATCTAATTGGGAGTGTTTGGTAACATGGGGTGTTTGGGTTGGAACCCAAGCCTATTCCATATGGGAATAGAGCAACTAAGTTTTAATATAAAAGAAAAGTGTGTGTGTTAATTAATGAAATTGAATTTTTCTCTTTGAAAAGAAAACACATAGCAGCCCCTTGAAAGAAACTCCCACGCTAGTTTTGGTTTAGCCTAAAACAAATCTCTTTAATTTTTCTTCTTGATTCTTAAGGCTAAGGAGGATCCAGCAAATCCCTCCTTAGTTCCTTACGATTGTCTTCGTGTGGACTACGTGGGTTCGATCCTACACTTGAATCGGTAGCAAAACGTTCATTGACAAATTTGGAGGAGCCTCCAAACGTGCGCATGTTTCTCTTAACTCATGATTAACCTTTTGTGTAGATTTTACTTTAATATAAATTGTAAAATTATACCCTTGATCTTGGCTCATGTAAACGATCCTTGTATTATATTTTTTGTTATTTCCGCTGTGTATATGGGACCGTTTACTAATAGAGCGGGCAACCTTTTTGCCTTTTGGGATGCTTCATAGATATGGGCAATGTCTTGAGTGGGGGGGGGGGTTGGGTTGTACTCTACATACCATGGGAAAGGTTGCCTGTCTCCGCAGTTATCTACTCTCTGTTTCTTTTGAAATTTGTTGAGATCTCTGTCGCTATGGTCTTGGCCCTACGCTTATCTGAGGGGCAATCTTGTCTTCTGTCCTGCCCCCCTTCCCCCCCGTGTCAAGCTTCTAGCAAGTGCAGCTAACGAGCTCTCTACTCGCTTGTACTTCATGACCATCTGGTAGAATTTGGCTAGACTCACATGATCTTCACTCTGGAGCTCTTTCCATAGCTCCGTATTAGGTCTGATCCTTGTAATTAGCAGAGTCCGAATGGATTCTTCGGGGGCATCAGCGACCTTTGCCTGCTCGTTCTAGAACCTCGTTAAATAAGAGGTTAGTGATTCGTCCCTCTCTTGGCAAATGTTGCTCAAGTAGTTGAATAGCATTGCGAAGCATTGCGAACTGTCTTTTCGCCTGGAATTGCTGTAGGTACAGTGCGGAGAATTGTTGCCAGGAGTTAATGGAGTTCGCCTTAAGCCGCTTGTACCACCTCTTAACATCTCCAACCAATGTGACTGTGAAGCACCGACATTTCGCTAAATCATTGACTTGGTGTAGCTCCATTAGGTCATTAAAGTTATCGATGTAATCTCTAGGGTCCGCTCTCCTGTCGAACTTGCTCTCTGGTACCTTGAACCCTTGTGGGAGTGGGGCTTGGCAAACTTCCTCTGTAAAGGGGGAACTTACTATTTCCTCCACCAGATTGTTCTGGCGAGCTTTTAGATCATCGAGCATCTTTTGCATGTGATCTAAGTCTTCACTTTGGTTGCCTTGATTGGCTTTATTAAGTTGTACCTCGAGCAAATGAGTTCGAAAGTATGTTGCTTGTGAAGCTCCTTCAGAGCGTGCGTTGATGCGCGAGGTTGAGTCATGATGGCTGGGTTGGTAGGTGCTATCATGCTCGTCAGTGCATTGCTCGTGATATCGGTCATAACCGAAATGTTGGTCATTGTCAGATTGTTGCACATGGCTCGCTTCGCGGGCTTGTGAAGATCAATCTGGTCTTGGGCGTAGGTTAAAACCAGCATGCTGACACTAGGGATACCGACGAGATTCTCGGTTGTATCCGTCGCCTTCGCTTTCCCTCAGCGGTTGCTTCCCTGGTCGCCTCTCGAGGATTGTTTGCATGTAGGTCTCACGCTCGTGCGTGGAGTGCTACCTGCAAGGTTGGAGGTGTTGATCACCTTTTGGCAGCAATGAAGCGGATTGTCCACCTGAAGAATTCATACCTGTTGGGGTGGCGTTGGCGAAGCGCGGTTGGTCAAGGTTCTAGGCAATTGGTTGTTGGTTCCTCAGCTTAGCCACGTTCTGTTGCACCGCCTGTGCAACCATTGTCCTGATCATCTCCATCAACTGGCCATTCTCGGGATTTGACATCCCTGTCCCCTGATTGTTTGCGGCGTGCTAAACTGGCAGCACAGGTGGTCGGCGTCCAACGTTCTCCTATTGCACCTCCTGATGGGTGGTTTCCACATTCTTGGGATTTCTACAATAGTTCTTGATCTGGTGAACACCATTTTGGTCATGGGACAAGTAAATTGCGGTGAACGTTTGCCATAATCTTCGAAATATTAGCGGAGGCCGTCATTCTAGCGCTAAAATGTTGATACAAAAATCTGCACCAACTAGCGAGATCCGATTGACCTTGCCGGGATCGGAACCGATATGTGCGTAATTAAGAATAATCAGCAATGTAAGTAAAAAGAATGCAATAAAGTAAAGACAATGAGAGTTTTAAAGTGGTTCGGTGAGGTTAACTCTAAAGCCTACGTCCACTATTTTTGTATTTGCTGTGAGAGCTTACAATATAGTTCCTATGTGAAATTCGTAACCCCTTCCTCCTCGTTTGAGAGGGTTTATATACAAGATTTGTACAAAGAAAAGAGCGAAATTATGGGGATTACAATTGATATGAATCGCAATTCCGATATTGTCACGATTGGGCATTGTGATTGCGTAGTGATCACGGTAGATCTAGCCATTCCCGTAATATCTGGGATTTGAAATAATCTAGAGGTTGATTGAATGATTCCTTGAACTGTCCGTGACTAGCTTATATTGGTCGAGCTTCGGCTCAACGAGCTTATGCTGGGTCGATTAATCATTGTTGCTGAGCTCATTCTGGGTCGAGCTATATCCTCGCGTTGGCCCGAGCTTGACGGAAAAGCCACACACACACACACACACACACACACATATATATATATCTTACTAAATCATTTTCAAATTTTTTTTTGTAAAATTGGAAATTCAATTTAATATTTTTTACACAATAGAAACAATTGAAATGCTTTCAGTATTATTTTCTGGAATCTGGATTATATATTTTTTAGCTTTTCATACTGTTTGCAAACTTAACTTTTCATTTAATTTTTTTTTACGTAACTACTTACCAACATTGTAGGTTTATTTTTTTCCCTATTCTTAGTTGCAGAAAATAATAATAATAATAATCATTAAATTATTAAAAATTGAAAAGTAAAACTAAATGAGTAGAGTATAACATACCTGATTTCTTTTTGGTCACATCTAGAGTTCCGAGTTCATAGGAGAAAATTGTGGAGATATTTTAATTTAATTTCAATTTTTATTTGTTCATATTTATGATATAGACAAGATCTTTTAGTTGGATGACGAGGAAGATAAGGTTAGAACATCATAAAACAAGGAAAAGTCAGATAAAGAGTAGTAAATAATTTGACTTATTAATTATGCTAACCAAAAAGCCAAATCAGCATACACGTCATGACACGTCATCAATCTCTCTTACCACAAAATCAAAAAACTCTTCACCAGCAGTGCCACGTCAACCTCTGATCTCTTGCTTCGGAGCTTCGCACTCTTCTCCAGTAAAATCCCGATTCCCGATATCTCGGAAGCTGGTTATTCAGTCAGTTTGTATACCCTTTAAACTCACCAAACCCACCTTATTTCTCCTCTTATTTACCTTCTTGCCATCGCTTTGCTCGAATCAACTGTCCGAGTATTACGTCTGACCATAATAATTCTTCCAAGATGAGACCGTCCACATCATTACTCACGTGGCAAGCACCCAGTTAACCTAGGAAAAACGTGCATAAATAGACACAACTACCGAACTGAACTGACTCCACAGTGTCAGAACCTAATTAGAATCCTACAAAACACAAGAATTAGTTGTTTTTCATGTTACACTTTTTTTGTTTTTTTGGTTGGATCTCTCATCTTATCTTTGATAAAAACCCCTGTAGTTATTATTGGGCATTTCCTTTACTGATATGGGCTAATTCTGTATTGAATTTTGATCAATTCAGTGGCGGGAGTTCGATGTTTTCGATCTGTAAGTGCTTATATACCATAAAAAAATTTGATATTTGCACTTAATTTTGATAAAAAAGATTTTCGCTAATTTTGTGATATTGGGTTGTTTGTCAATGACTGTTAAAGGATTAAAGAGTCTGTGGCTTGACTTTTGAGGTTTTATTAAAACCGAATTCCCGCTAAGAGATTCAAGTAAGTTAGTTAGTTTAGTTTAAAGTTTATTGAGGTAATCGGTTAAGAGGAGGTGAAGAATGGAACCCTCATGTGAGTTTTGTGGAAAGGAGAGAGCTGTGGTTTATTGTAAATCAGACTCTGCAAGGCTTTGTCTGCGTTGTGATGCGAGTGTACACTCTGCGAATTTGTTGTCACGTAGGCATCCTCGTTCACTTTTGTGTGATAAATGTAATCGTCAGCCTGCAACAGTCCGGTGTATGGATGAGAAATTGTCCATTTGTCAAACGTGTGATTGGAATTGCAATGGTTGCTCAAGTTTGGGGCATAGGTGTCAGGTATTGGAGTGTTACACAGGGTGTCCTTCTTTGGTTGAGTTTAGAAGCATTTGGTCTTCTGTTCTTGATATCCCTAATTCGAGTAATTCTGGTAATAGTTGGGGGCCACCTGGTTCTTTGCCACCAAATGACAATTGTGGGAATGATTGTTTGGAGCTAAGAGATAATAAGGGGTCATTTGGGTTGCTGACCAGCAAGTTGAATGAATTAGAGCCTTGGATGTCGAGTTCTTCTACGATTCCACCGAATCCAAATTACATGCTTTATTGTAGTGATCAAGCTCCCTTTTTCTCTGAGGGGTCTAATGAGCTAAAGGTATTATTTAAAAACTTTGTTCTTGAATTGCTGACTGCAATGTTTAAAGCCGCAATATTGTTGAAGACTTGACATTACACTTAACTTCATGTGCTGCAGGGTTCTGACTTAAAAGATCTTAAACTTCCAGATGGTGATGATCTCTGTGAAGTCCTCAACATGGATGATGTTCAGTTAGACTTCGAAGCTGGTGAAGAGATATTTGGCTGTTCACAAGGTCAATCTAGATACCAATTTGAAGATGTAGGGACTGATGGCATATTAATGGAGAAAAACTTATCAGTTACCGAATCTGATGGACCCATGGAGAATGCTTTAGAGGTTCTCCCTATATTTTAGAAGTTTCATGTAGATTTTTCATGAAGCAATCTTTGGTTATATATCTGATTATTCCTTCCTCTTTTTCATGTTTTAGCATCTTAGCTGAAGGATTACTTTTTTCACATGTTTATAAAGCAGCATAAAGTGTTTCGTCATCTTAACATTATTTGCTGAATTTTTAACTTCAAAGTTCTAACTTCATCTTGTTATTGTTATCATTCTCTTTGGTGTTTCTGGAACATGAAACGTTTTTGCTCAGGATTTTTGAGTGTTCATATACAGTTGCAAGCATGTCACTGAGCTCAAAATGCTTAGGCAATAAGTTTGGAGTCATTTATTCAGACCATGTGTGCTTGAAACAAGTTTTCACTCTTTTCAACTACTTTGTGGTGTTTGATACCATGCACACCTCCTAATGCCCATTGCCACACAAAAAAATATTCCCGAAATAAATAAATGCAACACCGAGGAACATTGTATGGCTTCTTGGCCAGTACTTGGCTCATAGTATTGTTCGAATACTGAAACACGGATTTCAAATCTTAATGATGAATAAGTTCTTATCAGATTATCAGGTATCTAATCTAATATTGTCAATGGTAATGAACATAATTGCAAATAGTAGTATATCTGTTCTTTGAAGTTCAGTTGAATTTTATACAAGTTTTATAAGGTTTTGCTTGCCAAAATCAGGTCTGCTTCTCACCTCTGTTTCGTTTTTTCAGGCATCATCATCAGGACAACAGGACTGTATGGCCTTTCAATCCTCTTGCATTGGTGGGACTGCCAGTGTGATGCAGGCCATGCCTAGTAGTGCCAATTGCATATTCCCAAATCCTAGTTGCAGCAGACACATCAATCTTGGATTTCCTGCTGGCCAAGTCCATCCAAGCATGTCACTTTCATTATCCAACATCACTGGTGAAAGTAGTGCTGCTGATTATCAAGATTGTGGATTGTCACCCGTGTTTCTACCGGGTGAATCTCTATGGGAATCAAACCTGGAAGCTAGCTGCCCACAAGCAAGGGATAAAGCAAAAATGAGATACAATGAGAAAAAAAAAACACGAATGTATGCGCTTTATCTCTCTTTATTTTATACACAATATAATGTTTTACATTTTAGGAAAATAGACCATATATTATGCCTTTCATGAGTATAGAAGTTGTTTTTTGATCTCCAAGATCAAATTAGCATACCAGATTTTTCATGGATAGTCTATTGATTTCTAGTACTTTTATTCATCTACACTATTGCTCTCCGTTATCTCCATTTGAAAACAATTTTTAGACAAATAATTTCATTAACTAAATGGAAAAAATAAACATAGAGAAGAGCAAGATATTATCTCTCTTTGACATCTTTTGAGGTTCATCAACCTAAAGTGCATAAAGCCTTTTTTTTTATTTTTTTTTTTACAGCAAAGAGAATATGAATCCAGGTGATCAAATACTTTCTGGCGTAGATATTAATATTGTTAGATTCTTATGATTTGGTTGGATCAGTATGCTAGGACCATGATTCTTGTATAAGCCATGGAGACTTTAACTGCTATAAATTCTCAGTGATCTTGATCTATATAATCCTTTCTAAAAAAAAAATAAAAAAAAAAAATTTCTTCTCCTAATGGATTTTGGACATTTTTCATGTGTAGGTTTGGTAAACAAATAAGATATGCCTCAAGAAAAGCCAGAGCTGATACTAGAAAACGTGTGAAAGGTAGATTTGTGAAGGCGGGTGAAGAATATGACTATGATCCTCTTGTGACGAGAAACTTTTGAGTCCCCAAATTTCTGTCTCTTAGTTCGTAAGACAAGGATAAAATGATAAGGTACAAATCTTTCCATCTGCAGATATATAGATTTTGTACTTTGTAATAGTAAGACGGACTTTAAATATAGAAGCAATTGCTAGCTACAGCATGTATACTCAACTCAATGATGCCTTAGATTTTAAATACTTTGAGGCTATTTACACAGATTAGAATTTTGCCATGCAATATGATTTGATGAAAGATCTTTCCTAACAAAAAAATTTAACAGAAAGAACAAGATAAGATAATGAATTTGCTGTCATCTCCTGAATGCTCCAAAGATGAGCTTGTGCTTTCATTCTGATTATTCGGCTTAATGCATGGGGAAGAAAAGTAAAATGGACCAAGGATGGAAAACTTTTAAATTGGTTAGTAGAGCAGGAGATTGATTATAAAAGTGAAGCTTTCAATGAAAATGTGATCGATATTGGATGATAACTGACAATATAATGGGGAAAAAAAATATTTAGACATTCTTGCTAGGGAAAACTGTGCAATTCTTTCCGTATTCAGTTGAATATTTTTCATTTCATCTTGGCATCTCTTTCTCTTTCATACACTTTAACACGTGTTACCCTTTTGAACATCTAACTGATATTATCTTTGCAGGTATACATACTATTCTTCTCTAAATTAAGCCGGGAATTCTAAATAGCTGATTCAATGTTCCATCTTTCTAACAGGTATCCCTGTCTCTGAAGAGCCTGATAATATTAAGTGCTTCACTTATTCATACATTTTAGAATCAACATGATAAAAATCTCTAAAAATTTACGATTTTTTAGCCTTTTCTGGTTCTTATTTATTTTCTTTGATATATAAGCTTATTCATTTTCACATTCACAGATCCGTGATGGTAAAATTCATGGACACTGGAGCAACCAATGATGACTATGGCATCCCTGAACTGCCTCAATGATCATTTTAAGTAGTAGAGTTTCCTTATCATAATGGATTCAATTATTCATATAAGACTGCTTATGCGCACCACGATGCTGTCGCATGACTATTCCATTTTTTCTTGCCTCACCCAAAGTAGATCCTCATCTTGCTTTTGCTGCACCTCCACTGGTCTTGCCATAGGGAAAAAAAATTCATTAACGAAATCTTACTTTTAGGTACATTATGTGCATTTATACTGTCCGCCAATACGTGTTCTATGTAATAAACTTCAATTTACGGTTGAGAATTTGGCACAGAAAGTATAACTTCCATTGATGAGAATAAAAGTAATTCATATACCTTTTTATACTTGTTTATTTATGCCAAAATACATTTCTGACCGTATTTCTCTTTCTTTATACAGTAACTACTCCTTACCTTTATAGAAAAAAGTTTAGTTGCTGAGAAAGAAATAAAGACATCAAATAACTTTTGGAGATAACATGAAATTCCAATCAATAAGAATCCTTATGAGAATTCCAAAGAGACGTTTACTTATTTTCTGTACATACTCTGATTGTCAATTGTTAATGCTTTAATGCATACATTGATAGAGAGCACAGTTTGCTAAAAAACTGGGTTACCTGATGGGATTCCAAAACTCATCTTACACAGTTACAGTATTACATGGAAGTTGTAGTTGCAAAACACAATCTTCACAATATGATGAAGACAACAGTTTGGTGTTGACATAAGCTATCAGTTAAAAGTTGGAATAATACTACACACACATCATTTGGAAAATGATGTATTACTCAGTTGTGGTTGCTGGCAACAAAAACATGAGGCATGTGACCATCTTTATTCGTAACCCAGACACAGACTTATTCCCTGTGAATTTCTGTGGTCATCTGCAGATATTAAAAGCATCAGATCATTGGGATTCTCTTGTGGTGATAACTTATCGTGGCTTTTTGCACTGTAAAAAGAACGACATCAGTCGTCAAATTTCTGATTACCATGGACCACCAGCTCAACAATATCTGATAATGCTGTGTGTGTTTGTACATATACTCTTTTAAGCTGGCGAAAGTTCTCACCACGCAACGCTTTTTCTGATGTAATTCAATTTTTGTCATGACCTGTTTATAGTAACATCAGCCACAAGCCACAGGTTCCATGAACCTAATGGCTCAATAATGTATCATAAAGCATCTAAAAGAAACACACAACTGCTACTGCAGAGAGAAATTTCGAGTAAATTAAGTATTACTTGTGCGAACAGTAATAAACAAACTATTAAGTTTATTAGAGCCGCAGAATTCATCAATTGTATCAGAATGAGTTCTATCTTTGTGTTTATACCCAGTGTTTAGAGCTGGATCTTGTGTAAATTAATGGTATTTTCATTTTTTCCCGACTCAAAATTTCATCTTTCTATCCAGACTAAGAATATCATACGACAAATAAAATTAATTATCATAACAATATAAAGCTTACTATACAGAAGAAAAATAAAGATTCTGTGACGGTGGAGAGCAACAAATTGAAGAACAACCATGCAGACATAAGTGAGTCATTCTAGAGGCTTGCATATTACTCAGAATTACATACAGATAATTTCCAGGTGATCTCATCAATTATCCGAACACATTTATAATACTAGCCGCCCCAGCCCCTGTATCTTATATTTTCCCAGGAATTTAAGCTTCTACTGCCTCTAAAATTGAATATGTAGCATATGAAAAATTTGACCTCTTTATCACAATTCTCTCTGTCATCATATATAGCCTCAGGCACAAACTTGTCATCCATTCCATTGATCGGCACACCGGACACAACCCAATAACTAAAATCGGATTGCTTAGCCCCAAAAAAAAAAAACAACAAAAAAAAAGGAGGAGGAGAAAGTAATGAAACAAAAGATCAAAGAAACAGAAAGGGTGTTTTAAGTATTCTTGAACTCTTTTTTTCAACCTTGGAATTGCACCTCCTTTCAACCCAACTCACCATTGTTGGAAGCAAAACCTCAAGCGAAGCTCCGATGAGGTATCGTTGCGTGAGGTTTTGACATGTGTTGCAGAGAAAACACCTAATATGTCTGAGAGCTAAGAAATTAGCTTCGTGCACCCATTTGTCACATTTTCTACATAGAAATGCATCATCAGCTTGGCAATACAATGAAGCCCTCTTACCACAAAGCTCACAACAAATCAAACGTGAAGTAGTATTGTTTACATTAACTGAAACTTCATCCTTGAAAGAGAAACCAGTAGCTTGTTGTGTACCTCTGCACATTTTAGAAGGCTGAATGTATGTAAGCTAGAAAGTTGGTTGATATTGGCCAGCCTATTTATAAGGCTGTTGGTATATGTGAATGTATATAAATATAAAATTCACATGGAGTTGGAATATTAACATGATGACATAAATGTCAACTACATGACAGGACACAATTGTCATTGCTTCTCTTGGGTTCTTTTATCTGTCGTATTATTAGAGCATAAAAACTTGAACTTGTGGTCAAGAAAATACTTTTACAGTACCAGTTGAGTAAAGTTAACAAGGGAATCTTTTCGGAAGGTGTTAAATTAAGTTATAATGATATTGAGAGAAAATTGTGACTCCACTAATTTTATATAAAGCTAAATTAGAGGCTTTTTCAGGGATTTTATGGACCATGATTTTTGTAGTTGAGTGGTTACCAAGTCAATTTGATTTACTGGTTGTATGGTCTAAAATTAAAGCAATTTAATAGTGGTGCCCACCAAAGGGATATAGAGCTGTGCACAAGTTGAGGTTGGAAGGTGAATTTTGATGAACCCCAATTCATGGAAGCTACGTGGAGACCCAACACTGGAAGGGATGTCAACTCCTTGTCCACAAGTTTCTCCACCGTTGATACATGAGTCCACCTGTGTGGTTGAAACTTTTATAAGGCCGTCTAATATGTGATAATGATAATCGTTTGGTCAATTTTTGAAGACTAAAATTGGTCAGTACATGCCCTTTTCAAACAAGCAAAGGTGTTTGTGAAAATGAGTGAGGCAGATTCACTCTTCCCATCTGTCCTAAGCTATGCTGTTCTCACACGCTACTGCCAGCCAACCACAAAAACAATCTTGCTAGTGCTTCCATGTGTCATATTATTGAACTACTTTTAGGCTTTAGCAGCCGATTTACTTTTAAAGTTTTATCCTCATCTTATTGAGCCGACCTATTTGCTCTCTCTACTCATTTTCTGACACAGTCAATTGATACTGATACCTTCAATTATCTAATTTTATCAAACATCATTGACATATCTCATCCCACTTTGTTTTTAATTGATTTACAATGGACTTTATAATTTTTTTCAATTTTCTAATCTGAGTGGGTTCCTCATTTGAAGGAAAAGTCTTGGTGCAGTTTAAAATTAGGTTGAAGATATGACTGGACATGGCCTAATACTATTAATTCTTTCTTGTTAATATATTTTATTATTTTTCTCTATGCTGAATAGACCATAGCCTTATTTTATTTTATCAAATAGGAGTATATATACAAACTTTTATTTTAATTACTATTAGATTTACAATTTTGTCACACAAAACAAAACCGTATTGGGTTCTTTCACGAACCAAGTTAGTCTTGGGCTAGATTTGGTGTGAGCCCTGCTTTTAGATTTCATTTCAGGGGTTTGTGCCGCCCTTAGAGCTCCTCCGCCTAGTCCAACAGCAGACCCATATTGGGCCTTAATTTTAATGGGCCATTCCGGAGGCGTTCCACAGCCCCATAAACTGGCTTCAAAGGGAAGAATCATCATTTTCTATGTTATGTGTCGTTTGACTGCTGTAACTAAAGACAAGACAAAACTCAGTTCGATTCGGACTATGATTCTGATACAACTCGAGCCTCTCTGCTGCGAATCGTTCGATTTCGATGCAGAACCAACACAACTACAACAGAAGAAAAAAACCCATCATTTCTTTCCTGAAAGCTGATCAAGCTCACCTCCCTTTTCCCGCCAGAATGCAGCCAAATATGCTAAACCCATCGCGAGTCAAAACCCTTCTTTTACTTCTTTCTCTCCTCTTCATCCTCTACCTCATATGCCACGTATCCACTATCAAGGCACCATCACTTTCCGACTCACTCGCCGCCGATATCGTCTCCAGAAGTCCTATTTCGCGCTGCCATGTCCTCTTTGCCATCGCCTCCTCCTCCAAATCCTGGCCCCGCCGCCTCTCTTACATCCGCCTTTGGTACTCTCCGGACTCCATTCGAGCTCTCGCCTTCTTAGACCGCAACGTACCCGATAATTCCTCCTCGGACCCCACACTGCCACGTGTTGTGATCTCTGCTGATACTTCAAAGTTCCCTTATACCTACCCAAGGGGTCTGCGGTCCGCCATCCGCGTGGCGCGTGTGGTGAAAGAGGCGGTTGATCTGACGGACGAAAGTGACGGTGTTCGGTGGTTTGTGTTTGGTGACGACGACACCGTTTTCTTCGTGGACAATTTGGTAAAAACGCTGTCGAAATATGATGACAACAGATGGTTTTATGTGGGGAGTAACAGCGAGTATTACGAGCAGAATGTGAAGCACTCGTTCAATACGGCGTTTGGTGGAGGTGGGTTCGCGGTTAGCCACTCACTTGCCAGGGTTTTAGCTAGGGTTTTGGACTCTTGTTTGATTAGATACCCGCATTTGTTCGGAAGCGACGCCAGAATCTTTTCCTGCTTGGCTGAATTGGGTGTTGGCTTAACCCATGAACCCGGGTTTCATCAGGTAAAACTTTTTATATATATTGTAATTGATTAATTTGCTTCAATTTATATATAGCCAATGTTGATGTTTATATAGGCTTAAACATAGCTTGAGTGGGTAGCATAAAATGTGCAGTGTAGCTTTACTCGAGTTAGTTCTGCTATTAATTTGCTTCAATTTATATATCGCCAATGTTGATGTTTATATAGGCTTAACATAGCTTGAATGGTAGCATAAAATGTGCATAGTGTAGCTTTACTCGAGTTAGTTCTGCACTATTACGCAGTTACGAAACATATAAGGGATAGAGGCTTTAGTGCACTGCCTTTCTAAATAATTACAATGACGAGATTAAATAGATTTGAGATGTTATCTCTTTCAAATTTCTTTTGTGTTTTAAAATAACTCCAATTTTCCACAGTTCTGGTCCTAAAATATGTACATATATATTTTTGCTTATGTGGAAATGCATTTGAAATGGTAGAATACAATGCCAATGGGGTTTGTTTCCACATGGAAGAGTTGACTTGTATATGTTTGATATTCTGCGGCTTGATTGTGGTAATCAAACGCTAATAAGACTGAGGTAGTCATGCTTGCTCTTTTCTTATTTTCTCTGAATAGAGATTTGGCTGTTGCAAGTTTTGTGGTTAGTTGNCTCTTTGCTCTCTCTACTCATTTTCTGACACAGTCAAGTGATACTGATACCTTGTTTTTAATTGATTTACAATGGATACTTTATAATTTTTTTCAATTTTCTAATCTGAGTGGGTTCCTCATTTGAAGGAAAAGTCTTGGTGCAGTTTAAAATTAGGTTGAAGATATGGCCTAATACTATTAATTCTTTCTTGTCTCTATGCTGAATAGACCATAGCCTTATTTTATTTTATCAAATTGGAGTATATATACAAACTTTTATTTTAACTACTATTAGATTTACAATTTTGTCACACAAAACAAAACCGTATTGGGTTCCTTCACGAACCAAGTTAGTCTTGGGCTAGATTTGGTGTGAGCCCTGCTTTTAGATTTCATTTCAGGGGTTTGTGCCGCCCTTAGAGCTCCTCCGCCTAGTCCAACAGCACACCCATATTGGGCCTTAATTTTAATGGGCCATTCCGGAGGCGTTCCACAGCCCCATAAACTGGCTTCAAAGGGAAGAATCATCATTTTCTATGTTATGTGTCGTTTGACTGCTGTAACTAAAGACAAGACAAAACTCAGTTCGATTCGGACTATGATTCTGATACAACTCGAGCCTCTCTGCTGCGAATCGTTTGATTTCGATGCAGAACCAACACAACTACAACAGAAGAAAAAAACCCATCATTTCTTTCCTGAAAGCTGATCAAGCTCACCTCCCTTTTCCCGCCAGAATGCAGCCAAATATGCTAAACCCATCGCGAGTCAAAACCCTTCTTTTACTTCTTTCTCTCCTCTTCATCCTCTACCTCATATGCCACGTATCCACTATCAAGGCACCATCACTTTCCGACTCACTCGCCGCCGATATCGTCTCCAGAAGTCCTATTTCGCGCTGCCATGTCCTCTTTGCCATCGCCTCCTCCTCCAAATCCTGGCCCCGCCGCCTCTCTTACATCCGCCTTTGGTACTCTCCGGACTCCATTCGAGCTCTCGCCTTCTTAGACCGCAACGTACCCGATAATTCCTCCTCGGACCCCACACTGCCACGTGTTGTGATCTCTGCTGATACTTCAAAGTTCCCTTATACCTACCCAAGGGGTCTGCGGTCCGCCATCCGCGTGGCGCGTGTGGTGAAAGAGGCGGTTGATCTGACGGACGAAAGTGACGGTGTTCGGTGGTTTGTGTTTGGTGACGACGACACCGTTTTCTTCGTGGACAATTTGGTAAAAACGCTGTCGAAATATGATGACAACAGATGGTTTTATGTGGGGAGTAACAGCGAGTATTACGAGCAGAATGTGAAGCACTCGTTCAATACGGCGTTTGGTGGAGGTGGGTTCGCGGTTAGCCACTCACTTGCCAGGGTTTTAGCTAGGGTTTTGGACTCTTGTTTGATTAGATACCCGCATTTGTTCGGAAGCGACGCCAGAATCTTTTCCTGCTTGGCTGAATTGGGTGTTGGCTTAACCCATGAACCCGGGTTTCATCAGGTAAAACTTTTTATATATATTGTAATTGATTAATTTGCTTCAATTTATATATAGCCAATGTTGATGTTTATATAGGCTTAAACATAGCTTGAGTGGGTAGCATAAAATGTGCAGTGTAGCTTTACTCGAGTTAGTTCTGCTATTAATTTGCTTCAATTTATATATCGCCAATGTTGATGTTTATATAGGCTTAACATAGCTTGAATGGTAGCATAAAATGTGCATAGTGTAGCTTTACTCGAGTTAGTTCTGCACTATTACGCAGTTACGAAACATATAAGGGATAGAGGCTTTAGTGCACTGCCTTTCTAAATAATTACAATGACGAGATTAAATAGATTTGAGATGTTATCTCTTTCAAATTTCTTTTGTGTTTTAAAATAACTCCAATTTTCCACAGTTCTGGTCCTAAAATATGTACATATATATTTTTGCTTATGTGGAAATGCATTTGAAATGGTAGAATACAATGCCAATGGGGTTTGTTTCCACATGGAAGAGTTGACTTGTATATGTTTGATATTCCTTGGCTTGATTGTGGTAATCAAACGCTAATAAGACTGTGGTAGTCATGCTTGTTCTTTTCTTATTTTCTCTGAATAGAGATTTGGCTGTTGCAAGTTTTGTGGTTAGTTGAGAGGCAAATTTCTTAGTTTTTTTATGTTTGACTAGCTTGACATGCGGGGAGATTTGTTTGGAATGCTTTCTGCACATCCATTATCACCGTTGTTGTCTCTTCATCATTTGGATGCTGTGGAGCCAATCTTCCCTAATATGAACAGGACACAAGCTCTGGGACACCTTTTCAAAGCAGTGGAAGTTGATCCTGCCAGAATTTTGCAGCAAACAGTTTGTTATGACCATTCAAGGCAACTGACTGTTTCAGTTGCATGGGGTTATGCTATTCAGGTGTATGAAGGCAATGAATCTCTTCCTGATCTCCTTTTGTTGCAGAGAACCTTTACACCATGGAAGAGAGGTGCAAATGTTGACTCTCATTTTATGTTTAATATGAGAGACTATCCAAGAGATCCCTGTAAAAGACCAATTGTTTTCTTTCTTGAGAGTGTTATATCTGATAAAAGCGGTGTGTTAAGCAACTATATCAAGCATTTTGTTGGAGATTGTGTTAGAGCTCATGCTTTGGAGAATCTTGAACTGATTAGAGTGTTGTCGCAGAAAGTGGAACTTGATGTTGAAGAGGTAGTAATGAATTGGTTTGATATGCTTGATTATGGTTTGGAGGTCAAAATATTATAAATTGTACTGTTGACTTTTTTATCATGCTATTTTCATATTCTAATTGGTTTTGCTATTGTCCTGTACACATTTTATCATCCATTTTGCAGATGGAATCTCCTCGCCGTCAGTGCTGTGACATTTCTCCTATATTTAATGAATCAATGACTATACAAATTAGACAATGTGGGCTTGATGAGCTGATTTCCATGCATTTCTAGCATCTTCTAAATGGCTGCTGATTAGAGATGCAATAAATAAGCTTGAGGAGTTCGACTTAGTTTTGGTGTGAGCCTCAGAATAGCCGTGTAAATAATAAGGTAACGTCTTACTACATAAAGTTTCGATTTGTTACGTAAGTTGCTTGATTTGTTTCTCAAATAGAGGACTGTAGTAATTGGTAATTTATTGTACGAGTGAAAATGTGATCAGACCACAAGAATGCTGGTGTATGGTAGGGGGCACAAGGGAGTAAAGTAGTGGATTATGGGGATGCTGGCAGGAAGCTTCTACTGGTATGAGTTGTTAAAGTTAGTTTTAGGAGTGGACAGATGGCAGTGATCAGATGGACTGGGGAGGGATTCTGTTATTGAGAGAGAAAGCAGGAGAATAAAGGAAGGATCAAGGGAGAATGGAGGGGATTCAGAAAAATAGAGAAGAAAATAGGGAGGAGCAAACCCACGAAGTCTAGCATTTAGGGAGGAGCTGGCCCTTGAAGTCCAGTGTTATCCTTGTTTTGTTTTTGCTAATTTTCCTTTTTGGTATTGGTTGATTGTTGGATTGGTTTGGTTGTTTTATCATCTTTGTAGTTGTTTATATATATATATATATATATATACTGGGCATTTTGGTTGCTGGTTGGTTTTGTTCATCTGGGTTTATTGGCTGTTGGCTGTTATTGTTAACTTTTTGGTTGAGTTTTAGGAGAGGTTCCTATCAAAATGCCAGATCATTGGTAGGTTAGAATGAATATCCTTTTCCCAACCTCCATAAATTCTTTATGACTTCATACATGTAGCTGTAGACTGTAGTATTTGCTTGCCCGTTGAATTACCTCAACATGTGACTGCTTGTTTATGTCAAGGAAAAATTCTGAGGAACTTCAGAAAAATATTTATGTCATTATGTTATTTGTACTGGAAATGGTTTTCACTCAAGTTGCTGTTCGTGTTTCTTGTCTCAATTTTCCTTCTTTTTTTATTTATATAAATAAATTTTGAGCTTGCTCGCTCAATATAATCTGAGTTTTGTATGCGTCTTTCAACATGCTGCTATTTCTGCAGTAATTCAACTCATAAACTGCTTGACTTTGAAATTTCAGTGACCTGACTGATATCATTCTTGTTTCTGCTATAACATAACTGCTTATTAAAATAGATAAACCTGACACGTCTGTTTGTTGTGGCAAGTCCTCTTTCTTTAATTTATTTTTTGTGGGAGTTTTGGCAAGTCTCTACTTGAATGTAGATTTGTTTTGACTAATATCTCTTTTCCTTTTCTTAGAAATATCTTTAGTTCCATTTATTTTATTAAGTGAAATAATTCTGTCTGAAGATTGATGTAGTAATAATGTGGAAAGGTGAAAATTCTCGAAAAGCCCTCAAAAAGGGTTTCCAATGTGGAAAGGTGAAAATTGTCAAAAAGTCCTCAAAAAGGGTTTCCAATTACTGTAATTCCTTTGTTTCAGGACGAATAACACGCTTGAAAATGTTTGAGGATCATCAAAATCATGGAACCAAGCTGATCTTTGAATCTCCAATGGATGCAGATATCCTTTCCTTCAAAAAGTTCTGACTGCAATTATTGATAGAACTCTCCAACAAACCTTCAGTTATTTAGAAGGGTTATTTATGTCCTAGAAGCAGGTCATGTTTTGTGAAAATATGGTTTGACTGATTTGCTAATTCAGCATGGAACTGACGGAACGCAGGCAATGGATGATCATCACAAGGGCAGATAGAACTGAGTAATATGAAATGTGAGATTTGATAGTGGTGAAAGTGTACTTGTGTTTACTTATTTTGTAGTTAAATTTTGGAAGTAATTTATTGAAGTAAAACATTCAGGAGATTGATTAATTCATAAATAATATCGTCTCCTTTGAAAGCTGTAACAGCTGTTTAAGCGTGCTGAGGATTCTTGGAGTTAGCTTTATTTATTTATTTTTTATTCGGGGTTGAACTTCTTGTGCTTTGTTTGCTGATGATCCTGGATAATTTCAGGATTCGTGGGAAGACAATTTGAGTTTGATACAATTTAGAAAAAAGAAGCTCGACTTTTTGACCGATTATTATGTTTGCTGCTGAAGTAAATTTTTGTTTGGTGGTTGACATGTGGCCTGCAATTCCTCCATGATTGATGGAGATGTAGGAAAATTTCTAAGTTCATGAGCCTGAAAAGCGAAAAGCATCGTGATAAATATCTTTGTAGTTGTTGGCTGGTAGGTAAGGTAACTATAAAGTTAATCTCACTGTATTGATACCTTCTTCTGTGGGATTTAGAAATTAATATGGATGGGCACCAGGTGGACTGTTTTTGAAAATATTGTGGGAACGTGGACCATGTAAAAAATCGATTTTGACTACTTTTAAGAAAGATGTAGCATGTTTTCCCACTTGCGTTTATTTTATTTTCTCCAAGATAATCAAACGTTGGCTTTTTACATAGTAGATGACTAGATTCATCATCTTCGAAATTATAGTCTTTTATTTTTCAGTTTTCTAATTGAAAATCTCAATAGCAAATAATAAAGCTACGCGTGTCCTCTTTTGTCGAGGAAAGTAACCACGTGGAATCGTTGAAATTTGACTTGTGTCTCTTTTCCAAATCCAACCATAACCTTCCACATGGTACAGGTCTTTGGCCTTTAGCTACCAATTAAACTTTAACATTTATTAAATCATTTTTTTTTAGTTCATCAAATGGATCTAACTGTTGCCAACGCCATTATCAAAGACAAATAGTTCTAGGCTTCTAGCTACATCTCTCTCCCTGCGGTCAAATAATCAATGTCATTAACCCTAACTTGAACCAGACAATCCATTACCTGGACCATTCTGAATGGCCAAGATATAGTACGAATACCTACTCCACGTTTTTTTCTCAACAAATGGAGATATAACTGATAACGTGGAAGTGTCAAAATTTGTAGGTTGCTTCCGCCTTTGATTGCGTTAGTGAATGGTAGGTAGTATATATATATATATTCAAACTTCTCTTCTCTCTTTAGCTGAACAACTCACCTAAACTTGCTGAACATTAAAAATGCTCCAAAACTGATCAGAATTCCGTATGAACCCATTTCTTTTTTTTCTCTCCGACTCCGATCGATACCATTCAAAATGCAGTTTCTCCGCTCAACAATCAAAACACAATCTTCATCTTATTTGATTAACCTTCTGTTGATCTCTTCTTCTGTATGCATCATATTTCTTTTTGTTTCAATATTCTTAGTAGGTTCTTCAAGGACTGCAGATCTATTCTCTTCTTCTTCGCATGATGTGTATGCGCCTGCCAGTCTTGAGCATATTGTATTTGGAATTGCTTCTAACAAGAACTCGTGGCCAAAGCGTAAAGAATATGTCAATCTTTGGTGGAGACCTGAGAAAATGCGAGGATGTGTATTCCTTGAAAGCATGCCATCTGATATAGATTCACTTAGTAATGATAATAGTTCTCTTCCACCAGTTTGCATCTCTGAGGACACTTCACGATTTCGTTATACTTATAGAGGAGGTCTGCGATCGGCGATTCGAGTTGCGCGTGTTGTTCTAGAGACTGTTGCTCTTAATCACTCCGATGTGCGGTGGTATGTTTTTGGTGATGATGACACAGTTTTCTTTCCCGATAATCTAGTGAAGACTCTATCAAAGTATGACCATGGACTGTGGTACTACATCGGGTCAAATTCAGAGGTTCATGAACAAAATAGATACTTCAGTTTCAAAATGGCTTTTGGTGGAGCAGGTTTTGCCATAAGTGCTCCTCTAGCCAAAGTTCTGGCCAAGATTTTTGATTCATGTATTGAGCGATATCCTCACCTTTATGGAAGTGATGCTAGGGTTTACTCTTGCTTGGCAGAGCTTGGTATAAGCCTCACACGCGAGCCCGGTTTCCACCAGGTATCAATTCATTAACTCTTAAGTTTATTGTTCATAATTAAAGTCTCAAATATTATATTAAGCGGCTTTTGTGTAGTTTTTTCTCTTTTTTTTTTTTTTTTTTTAACTTGTTTGGGGGTATGTTGAATTCAACCAGTTTGATGTTCGGGGCAATCTCTTTGGCTTGTTGGCTTCACATCCCACAACGCCTTTGGTATCCGTCCATCACTTAGATCACATGGACCCTATCTTTCCTAACTTGACAACAATCAAGGCCCTGGAACATTTATTTGAAGCTGCAAATGTTGATCCTGGGAGAATTTTACAACAAACCGTTTGCTATGACCGTTGGTTTTCATGGACTATTTCTGTGTCCTGGGGTTATGCTGTTCAGGTGTTTGGCAGGCATATGAATTTACCAGATGTTCTGCCAGTGCAAGAGACATTCCAGGAGTGGAAGAAGAGAAATACCAAACCACATTATACTTTTAATTCAAGAGAACTTCACCCTGACCCCTGCCAAAGACCCACAATTTTCTTTTTGGATAATGTAACTTCTGGAAGGGATGGGATTTGGACTAGTTACAGGAAATCATATGCAAACTGTTCACACGACATGGCTTCTCCAAGAAAACTTGATGAAATCAGAGTGCTGTCACATAAATTAGAGCTTGATCTTACAAAGGTATTCCTTATACTCTTCTTTGGAACACTCTGCATTTAATTTTTTTTTTTTTTTTTTAAATGCTCAATTTGTTTTCGTAAAAGGAACTTATTGTTAATTTAATGTTGCATTCAGTTACGGGCTCCTAGAAGGCATTGTTGTGATGTTTTACCATCTTCCACTGGCAAAGTAATGGAAATTGCCATCAGAGAATGCAAAGAAGAAGAGCCAATCCACATGCATTGATATCATTCGAAATTAAGCATATGGTCAATGCAAAGTTATATCTCTATCTAGATTTTAAGCTTTTCTTTATAATATATATTATATAAAACATGCGATTGTGGAGGTATAATTAATTGCAAAACAACGTAATTGTATACCAGATTAACGTTGTCCACTGAGTATAGAATAGTAGCAAATGGGCATCACGAACGCAGGCCCATGTGAAGGGAACTTCAGAGAAAATCATTGATTTGATCTGGCGAGAGATTTGATATCTTACTTGGTAAGTTGAAGAAAGCCCTTTTCAAATATGGCGTGGGGAGATGTTTAGCTCAAGTTTCATCTAAAGTTACTTGAAAAAGCTTCAACAATGTATCTTTTATATTTAGCTTAAGTATGATTTTCTCAATTTGTAGCATGTGAAGAAACTTGTGAATGACACCAAGGAAGTTTTAGTTTTACTTTCTTGTAACATTTGACTTATACCATAAATAAGAAACTAATAAACCAATATTTTACAGTGTAGAATGTTAGCCATGACTCAAAACCTCTATTGATCTAAGCTTTCTCCGGTCAAGACTCAAAATACCATGAGAAACCATATTCTCTGCCTCAGTTATGGCCTATTAAGCATGAATATAGATTGTGCAGGACACCGTATTTGGGTCCAGGAATTTCAAATTCAATGGAATGTAGAAAGAGGCAGAAAGGTACGCCTACACCATTGACGGCGAGGAGCTGCGAAGCTTCGGTGAGCTTTTATCATGGTCCAAAGCAATTAACTCAATCTAGCTTAATACAAGTATTATAAAGTCCTCAATGATGGCAGCTAACAAATAATAAGAGTTATCTGACTATGTAATGCTTTGGACGAGTTTAAAGAGCAGTATTAAGTAATGTTTCAATTAAATGGTAATGGTATGTTTCCACTCTCCTAATTTCTTATAATGTTCAAGAGATTTCGACTTATCATACTTTATTGTTGAAATGGAAGATTAATTACGTAATTCCTATTAATGGAAAAGTAGAATGAAATTCATCTTTTCAATTATATAGGAGGTCTTTAAAGAAGGCTTAACTGATCAATGATGTATGCATATATTCATAGGCCTAGGCTTGGACTGATGATAAATTGGGTTCGGTATATTTAAATCTTCAAATATCAGTTGACATTACTTCGTGCTTACAAATGTCAGGAACTGGCGAAATTTTGAAGATTTATTTTATGTACACATCAAGTGTCTTATATTTGATTGAATCTTGCTTATATCAAACCTTGTGGAAAGTTTAAATCTTGCTTAGATCAAAATCAAATGTCCAAAGATATTGTATTATTAAATTGGCCGGCCTATCGGTCAATCTGAGCTTGTAATAAAATAGTGGTCTTTTTCTTCAGGCCTTTGATTTTGACTATAAAAAAGTAATTGCGCGTTTCACTAAAATGAATTATAAATTCTGCTGGAAATATTATTATAAAACTCGTCCATAATAAAATAAGGGTGGGTCGTATTGATTTGCTCTCAAGAATAAAGTTAAGGCATTTGGATTTTGTGAATCTTGAGAATCTGACCAGGACAATATGACCACGAGTCATACCCTCCTCTATCGAACTTGTCCTTTGCCAGCCGGTAGAAGTTGCTAGAAATAGAGATTCAAATATCAGCATCGTCATCAGTCAGCTTGTTCAGATGGTCAAGAAACACGTATTCTGTATATTCTTCCTTTTACCATATCAAACTTGTGTTGGAAGATAAAATAATAACAAGTATGAGAACATAAGTTCGGGTGAGGCACTCTATATTCATTACAAATTACTAGATCCTTTATACTCTGCTGCATCTTCTGCTTCACAAGATCCCTCTGCCAATTGCATAATGCAATCTCTTGCATTAACAGCTCTGACATAATACCTATTGTCATCCCTTTTTTATTCTTACAATCCCACTAATTAGATACGTCACTTGTGATTCTGCAGATAATCACACTTCTGGGAGTGTCTCTCAGCAAAATCTGAACCTGACTCTAAGCTCACTGGCTTTAAATGCTTCCCGAACAGGCTTTTTCATGACTACTGTGGGTCAGAACGTTAATACTACTGTTTACGGACTCATACAGTGCAGAGGTGATATTTCAAAGGAAATTTGTCAAGCTTGTGCAAATAATGTTACTAAAGAGATCGTCCAATTCTGTCCTAATAAGAAGCAGGCTTCCATAGGTTATGATTATTGTTCACTACACTATTCTGATAGGAGCTTCTTCACTACTGTTAATAGCTACATAAGACTTCATAGATACAATCCGGCAAACATAACAGACTCCGTGGTTTTTAACAGGCAGTTGCAAAATTTGGTTAACCCTCTATCATCTAATGCTGCATCTATTCCTTCCAAGTTTGCTACCGGGAGCATCAATTCTACAGATTATACGTATATATTTGCTATGCTGCAGTGCACAAGGGACTTATCAGACAGTAGCTGTTCGGGTTGCCTTCAAGATGTCATCCGTTTTATTCCTCAGATCTGTGGTGGAAAAAATGGTTGTAGATTATTCTCTATAAGTTGCAATCTCCGGTTTGAAGTATATCCATTCTATGCATTGTCACCACCGCCTCCTACTTCTGCAAATCCACCTGCTATTACGCTGCAGCCGAATTCAACTAGTAGCGAAGGTGTGATATTTGGTGCTTTTAATCTAAACTTTTGCTTCTCTGAAAAAAAACCACATTAAAATTTCAATTGTAGAAACATATAAGAACCTTTTAGAAGAAAAGATGAAGCGATGATATTGTTGTTATATCCCGTTTATGCAGAGAAGAGGAGCACTTCAAGAGCCATTATTAGTTTTGTGATCATATCTGTGGCTGTAGCTGCTGCGTTGGCAGTGACATCATTACTCTGTGGTTGCTTCTTTTGGAGAAAGGCCAAGAAAAATAGGGTTGGTAATCACCTTTTATATTCTCTAAAATTCTTCAAAGTTTTGTGAGTTCAGTGGTGTTCATCAATTTCATAACTGTCAATAGTGTCCAACTCTTGATGTGGTACAATTTCAAAACTTCCATTGTCAAGGAATCTCAATAGTGTTTCTTTTTTTCCTGTGTCTTTTTGGCATTCAGATGTTACTTCGGAAGATGGAGATAAAAACATGGAATCACTTTTGATGGGAATAGACACACTTAAAGCCGCGACAAGAAACTTTTCAGATGAATATAAACTTGGACATTGTGGTTTTGGTCCAGTTTACAAGGTACTGCTTCTTTGATATCATTATGCATGCTATGATATTCGCTGAATCGCTCTGTACTTAGCAACACTTTTGGTATACATGCCTGCAGGGACAACTGTTTGATGGGCGTGAAATAGCTGTGAAAAGGTCCTGAAGAGCTGAAAACAGAGGTGATATTGGTGGCTAAACTGCTGCATCGGAACCTGGTTAGCCTGTTGGGCTTCTGCTTGGAGGAGGAAGAGAAGCTGCTTGTCTATGAATTCCTCCCCAACGGGAGCTTGGACAAAATTTTATTTGGTATAGCAATTTTGCCTATTATTTCATTTCCGCCTGTTGATTATCATGTCTTCTTTCTTTTTCTTTTGATTTTCTTTTAGGCCTTGTCATTAACACAAACAATAATTTGTAACTTTTGGATGAGATAGATGAAAGGAAACGGTTTAGCCTGGAATGGGAAATAAGGTACAAAATCATTGTTGGGATTGCACGAGGGTTACTTTACTTACATGAAGACTCACAGCTCAGAATTATTCATAGGGATTTAAAAGCTAGCAATATTCTATTAGATGAACACATGAATCCCAAAATTTTAGATTTTGGTTTGGCAAAACTATTTGGTGAAAGCTAGACACAAGGCAACACAAATCGGATTGCTGGGACATAGTAAGTTCACATTTTACTCACAATTCTTGAACATTATTATAATTTGAAGCAGTCAATCTGCAACTAACACAAAGCAATTATCTATTTGTTGATGGCCTGAACCGGGTACATGGCACCGGAGTATGCTAAGCATGGACACTTTTCAACCAAATCCGATGTCTATAGTTATGGCGTTCTAATTTTGGAAATCATAGCTGGTAGAAAGAATTCAAGTTTCTGGAATACATTAAATCTTCCGAGTTATGTAAGTATATATACTGTCAGGTTTTTCTGTTAATGGTAAATTAATTATACGATTGGCCTACCCTTACTGATTTAATTGGCACGGTTGATAATTGTTATAGGCATGGCAACAATGGACCAATGGAACTGCTACTGAGCTGTTGGATCCGGTGCTGGGTGATCAATGGCCAAGATGTGTAGTATTGAAATGCATCCACATTGGATTATTATGTGTTCAAGAAGCCGCTGCTGATCGACCTACTATGACTGAGATTGTGACGATGTTTAGTAGTTACACTATAACCTCACCAGTACCCTCCAGACCAGAATTTTTTATTTCTAGGGGAAGTTCTGAATCAGATATGGGGATGGAGGATTGTAGACCATCTCAATCAAAGAGATCAAATCCTGACTTATCTCAACAATCTGTCAATGAGGTGACAATGACTGATTTAGATCCTCGATAGCATCGCTCGGGTAATTGAACTGATAATGAAGCATCGAAATTTGATAACACTTATGAATGCTTGATCTTGTTGTATGAACATCATAAGTTGACCTTTTGGGTTGGTACTTCATTGTTTTATAGCTAGCTGGGCATGGTCTGTTCTGTGAATTGAGTTTTACTTTTTAAATTCTGAACTTGATATAAAGGATTGATCAAGCCACCTTATACCAAAATGCCAATCCATTAAAGAAGTAACTCAGAATTTTGTTATTCAGATCACTGGATTTGACTCATTCAAAATTTACAAATGTGTGGGATGCATAGATCGCTATTTCAAAAATTATCCAAACGCATATTGTCCTTCAAGGATCTTAATTAAAACCTTTAATTGTATTCTAGAAACAGTGTTAAGGTCAACGTAGAAGATCTTCTTTTGAATATTTATTTGTAATTATTTTATTCTGTAATTGTCAAACCTTGACTTCTTTATTATTGCTTCAAACAGGGAGAGGAATTTATTAATGAATGAATTAAAACAAGAATAGTGCTTTTCTGTAGTCTTTTTTTACTAGAAAGTGCAAGAAGTGGGGTCGGAGCTATAGTTTTTTAAATCTTACGGGAGCGATAATTTGATTCATTGCCGAACTTCAGACTTTCAACGACATAGACGATAAAAATGTGTTTCAATCCACGGGATAATTATCTAGACCAATAACGCAACGCGAGCAATCTATCCACTGTGACACCTAGAGGTAGGAAAGGCCCGGGCTCAAATAATCAGGGACTGGTCCTGGGGCCATAAGATTTCTCAGGCCCAGACCGGTCCTATGGGTTTGGACAATTTTTTTTTTTTATAAAATTTTATTTTAATATCTATATTTATTGTTAATTTAATATTAAATAGATGGTTTACTTTAAATTCATACATCCGAGTTCTCCATTTGTGTGGAGGAATATCATTAATAGTAAAAGTGTGGAGTTTTGCTGAAGCTATATAAGAGTCACGCTCAGCCGTACTATGATGGGATTGTCGATATATAGGCGAAGAGTCTGGAATAGAATCATCACCTTCAGGCATCTCATCATCAATCTCAGAGACAACATGTGGTCTTGAAGATTCGGGTTGATGGGTCATCAGTTGGGGACAAACATTAGGATGTTGATAAGAAGTATCACTTTCAAAGTTGAAGCCACTTTCAAATGATTCATCAGTCGAAGACATATCAGCTTCTGATTCTGTTTGGAAGGTAGATAGAGAATCTTGAGAAATACCCGAAGCTGCAAGATGTTGCCTTTCTGTCATGTCTCTCAAAAAAGAGCTCATAAAATTGGAAGAGACAAGATTTTCTGAAGAGACAAGATTAGTAGAATTTTGGCGGTCTTCCATCATCATTATTTGCATTGGAGCCTTATCCTTAGATAAAGGACGATGAGGCTTAGGAGATGGAGGATCGGAATGACTGGAAGAGAAAGAGTCAGGTATATCATCGGATGGTTTCTGCGTTTTAGCAGCATATTTTTCTTGCTTCTTTTGTTCCCGTTCCAACTTAATCTTTTCATCACGTTATTTGCGGAGCTTGGCATATAACTGTTTAGAGTTGCCAAAAGCCTGAACAACGTCAAAAGGTATATGATGTGAGACCAAAGGTTGACTAATCTTTGGGAAAGGTGAAAAAGAGGCTTGTGGTCATGCTGTTGAAGAATCAAAAGGATTTGGCACCTAAGACATTTCAGGAAAAGTCTGTGGTTGTTTGAGTTTTTGCTTAAAATATTCCTGCTGAAGCGATGCCATTTGGGTTTTTAGCGACTTCATTTCTGCTTTTTTTTCTGGAGAAATTGAGCTAAATAGCTATGAGAGGTGCTAACAAATGTGCATTAATTCCTGATGGAGCTGATCAATCCGGTTTTGAAGATGATTAATCTGTTTTTGTAACCGAGAAATCAACATAGTGTGGTTCTGAGACTGAGAGTCAACCTGATGAGCTACCAGATCTAATTTTTGTTCAATTCTAGTAATGGTTTTATTTTGGGCTAAAGCATTTTCAGTTTGCCAATTGAGAACTGCTTTAGCTTGGGAGAGTTTTGGAGTGGATCCATCAGGCTGTATGACTTTGGAAGGAACCACTTTTGGTTGTTGAATCGCCGATTCCTTAAGAGAAGGAAAGTCTGTGTCATAATTGAAATTTTGTCCTGTCTGTTGGGGTTTAGAAGATTGAATCATCAGAATACACTGAACATGTGGAGTATGAACAAAAGGTGAATGGGTTGGTTTGTTTTCTTTTGCAATCCACCGAAGAGCCTGCTGATAACATGGTAAAAGCTGTTTAAAGTAAGGTGATTTAATAAGTTTGGATAGTTTTAAAGGTGATTTGGGTTTAGGTTTCGGAGGGATTTCCCATGAAGGATTAATGGATGGTGATTCTTTCAAGGCTGGTAGAGAATATATGACATAATAGTCAAATTTACTAGATGGTTGACCAAGAAAGCTAACTTTAGGATCATGGTCTTCAAATCTGGAGTGAAGATCTTTTTTACTGCACCGAGCTGTCTATTTTTTTGGTCTAAAATGGTTTCATCTGGAAAGATAATGCTCCTCTAATTCCCAAATAGGATCATCACGACAGTCTGAGCATTGACAGTCAAGATCAAATGGAATGTGACCAGTGACTGGATCAAATTGATAATAGACAAGAGCACTAGATTGTTGAAATGAATGAATGGAAAGTCCAGATTCCCGTACTATTGTAGCTGGTAAGATTGGAGTGATCATGAATTGAGTTTGTCGAAAACTCAAAGGTGGAGCACTGGGAGTTGCTGGAGACTTGAGTCTGATAGTTGTTGTTTCGTCAGGGTTATCATGCATGGTAGATTCTGTAGAAACCACTGGAGTTTCTTTTTTATTAAGAGACTCATAACTCATCACCCAAGAGTCTGGTAACAATTTAATCAAATCATCTCTGGAAATCTGCTTGGGAATATGGATGCATTGAGGAGAATTCTAAGAGTCAACAGTAAGGAGCAGCGCATCAGTAGTCGTAGGAATAGCGAGATCAAAAGCATGGTCTTGGATCCATCAAACCATCTGATAATGCAAAGTAGCTGCAATACTCCCTGGATTTAAATCTGCACCAACTATTTGTAATTGAACTTTAAGAGATTTGGAGCAATGAACATCAGAAAGAGACATATTGAAATTAGGAAACAGTGTCATAACGACTGTCCCAACATTCAAAGTTATTTGTGCCATTCCCATACAAGCATGTTGATATTGGACAAATTTGGTGTCCAACAAAGCGATTCGAACAGAGACTGGGAGTCCTTTTCTACCATGATAAGATAGAGCTAGTCTGATAGCACCAAAGTGGACATGAGAGTATCTTTCACGGATCCATTGGGCAATGAATTCTTGAGGGATTTCCAAAGTAATATATTGTTCTTGAGTTGTGGCTGGAATTTGACACTTATCAAAAGTATTAGTCTGGACATACTCTTTAACTGGCTTTCTGGAAGGTCTAACAAGAGTTTTAAAGGTTTTAGGCAAAGAAGAAAAGGACTTGGAAAATGCTGTTTATGGATTTACAATTGGAGGGATAGTATCTTGGGTTTTTTTATTTTCTGGGATATAAGATATTTCATACAAACTATCGACTTTAGAAGAAGATCTAGATAAGCTAGTATTTATGGGAGCAATAAACATAGATAAAGCTGAAGAGGATTCCATATGCGTGAGTTCAACCTCTTAGATGTGTAATATCACCTCAAATGGTAAGAATAGCTCAAGACCCAAACATTAAACATAAAAATAAAACATAAGACATAAGACATAACCCAAACTTAAAGGAGCCAATATTCGAGGGGAGGTAATCCTCCCCACACACAGAAATTGGAACCAATAAGTAACTTAGAGAAGCCAATATCCGAGGGGAGATAATCCTCCGCGCACACAGAAATTGGAATCGATAAGTGGTTTGGCTCTGGTACCATACGGGTTACTAGACCTTAGAGATGATGTCAGAAGATCGTGGAATATGCATGTGGGAAACTATGATAGCCGACCTAAGTGAAACCAATCAACGCAATGATCGATCGAAATCATGGTCAAGGCCCTCCTTTAATCCCACACACACTTACACCCACACAACTTCTAACATCATCTAAAAGGGCTAGTGAAAATTAAACACACAAAAAATATAAATGAAGAAAAAATATATTAAATATATCAAGAACATAAATTGAGAACATATATGTTAAACATGTCAAAGAACATAAATTAAGAACATATATGGGATCTTTTGCTACCCTTAACATTATCAGAATATTACAACACCCTTGAGGTTGAGGGAAAGTTTAGAAGGATGAAAGAAACATGGAAGAACTATGGTAAAGATGTGCAAAGAAAATATACAAGGGAGAAGTGAGAGATTCTTGATAAGAGAATAAAGCAAGAGAAATATACAAGGGTTTTCACAATGCTCCTCCTTCCTACGAGAAGGTAAAAGTCTTTATTTATAGAGAAGAGATATACATTGCATGCAAGACTCATAAATGAGCTATTTGATACATGAGTAGACCTTTTTTTTTTTTTTTTTTTTTTTTTTCCATTTATTTGCCTACAATACTTGACTTTTATAATTCATATGGAAGATATTACACTAAGTTGGCAAACTGCCATTTAGTCCATGACTATCTTCATAAAGGACACAACTTTTATTTTAAGACATGCAGAGCTTTAATCTCCTAACAGGCTTGTAATGTGCCACGAGTCCTCATCCTAGAAATCGAGACAACCCATTGATTGAATCCAGTCAGTAGGGATTTGTCGAGAAGATGTATCTGGATGAGTATTCGGAGAAATCTCTGGAAACTGCTTTGCAGAGGTACTTGGTGCATGCATGTACTGTTGTCGCCTTGATTTATGAAGATAGTAATTATGAGACTGTTGAAGCTCTTTTTCTTGCATAGTATTTCACTGTGAGTCTGAGTACCACCATTCTGGATAATCTGAAGTGGCATTGAATT